CCCCCCCCTATAAAGATCCGGTCTTATACACTCAGGAAACTTCAGAAGTAGAAGTGAGTAGAAATCCTCAATATCGGTAAGTATATGGTCATCTGAGAATGAAAGAATGGAAGGGGGCTGAAACAGATTGCGTTACAGTGAGCATCGAACGGTATCGCATCTTGGGCACCCTATACCTGGGGTTACTATTCGTCCTAATAACATCTGCCCATCAGCTGATGGCATGTTCGTGGCCGCCAGCTGCCACGGTTTTTGGATGGTGGCAGCTAGGATCACCCAGGTACGTAATCTGTAAACGTAATCCTTCTTCTTGCCCCTCGAGGCCGAACGGGCCGAACGCCATCAGCCATCATGTTGAGAATATTTTGAGGTTATGTTTATATTGTCAACTTAAAGTTTTAAATTGAGCATACATCCTATTTCAGACAAGAGAATCTAGTGTTGCGTACATTTAGTATTAAAGGAAAGTCAGTTAACTAGTGTGAATTCTATCGTCGAAACCAAATTTCAGGGACCATCGAAGAGAAAATCTCAACAAAAGAGGAATATGTAAATCAATTTCTCGTCGACAACAAGACTTTACGCCCAAGACCCATACGTTTGCAGTTTGCTTTGAAAATTTCCTCTTGAGTTTTTGAATTCAGCATTGCTAGAAAGAGCTATCAGGTGAGTCACTGGATTTTTAAAGTCCCTTAATTTTCTTTAAATTTCAGAAAAAGATCAAGTTTGCTGATATTGTTTTGCAAGCGTTGTCTTCATGTAGGATGACAGAACTGGGGAAAGAAAAGGAGAGACAAACTAGGGTTGTCCATACTTAACCGATTCTCTCAATTGATACTTGGCATTGATACTGAATGATTACATTACTAAGTGGTAGTGGCCCTCAGACCCCAGCATCAATGGTATCAATCCTTTCTTTTTGCTCATCTACGGCAAGTTGCAGTCTAATTTGCTACTAAGAATACCTAAGAACACGGCTGCGGCTCAATTATTTTGATGCTGTTGATGGGCATTTATGCATTCCAAATTATTTATAAGCTAGTATCAATACGTCAGCTTACTACCAGTTTCAGTGCTGAGTGTCGATACCAGAATCAATAATAAGTATCGACATCCCTAAGACAAATGTCGCATCAATCATCAGTTGGCTTATTGGTTACCTCAAACTGATGTTGAACAATGCCATTCTTGCATGTGACATTTGTCTCTTCTTTTCTTTCCTCAGTTCTATGTCAGCTTTTCTTTCTTCCAATCTTAATGGCTCTTAGTTTTGTGAGTAATGATTCATCAGGACAGAATCATTTTACCTGTATTTACATCATTTGGACATATTTCTGCCAAACGGAACTATGTGCATTATGACATGAGCCCTGTTATACACGTGTTCTGATGGGTCTCAGGGCTTACATCTTAATGCACATAGTTCCGTTTGACAGAAATATGTCCATTTACAAAGATTCTCATCACATGGATCACTGGTGGATCCTGAATCAAGGTGCTGAAATTGCAAGCAGGGATCTGCATGTTTGTCTTTGAAAAATGCAGATCAAAATCTACTAATACAGCATCTGAAGATATTTCATCGCTTCCATTGTAGAAGCAGTAACATATCAACAGTTTTCAAGCAAGACCTTTCATGTCCCTCTATGTAATGGCACCTGCTGTCCAAAATTTGGGCATCAAAATTTTGCCCCCCCCCCCTCCAAATACTGTGATTAATGATGATCAAAATTTCAACGGAACAGGAAGAGCTAAAGATATACCATTTTCAGCCTCTGATACCTTCTTTTCTTAACAGTGAGCCTGTCAGGCATTACTGATTTTCTATACCTGATTGTTGTTCAAGTATCCACTCTCTAAAATTTTTGCAGGCTCTTGCTTCAATGAGTGCAGCCACTGAAATGGATGACAAAGTCTCAGGTTTGAGGGATCACAGTAGCACGGAAGATCTTTCGGAAGAATCCGTGCTCATCCGAGACTGTCCAGAGTTCAGAGATGTCGAACCAACTCCTCAGTTTGAGGGGCACGCACCGGTGGCCAGTATTGCTTACTCGGAGAGTTGTAAGTGATACCAGATTATATGCTTTTTCAAAGAATATTTATTTGTGCTTATAATTTGAAATTAAGGAGCTTTCTGGAAAAAGAATTTAATATCTTTCTCTGTAAATTTAGTCTTTGAACTCTCTGAGCTTTACTGTGTCTTAGAACACAATTTCAGATCGATTCGCCAGTTTTTAGGGGCAAGAGATCATTTTTCAATGACATGGTTGCTGATTCCAGGGTTTTTTCTGGAAGGCATGGTCATACTTTTTCATCTGAAACTCTACTCTTTTGGTTTACCAAATTAAGATGGAAAATGTCCTAAAAAAATTTAGTTCTACATTGAAAATTATGCCCCGCTAATTGTCTCAGATTTCATAAATGTGTGTCAGTGAAATTTCAGAAGCTTGTATTGCATTTTTTACCTAAAACTTATTCCACTGCGCAAAAACTTAATAATTAGGATATTTGTATAGTGGATTTCATATTGATTCGTTAAGTTAATCACACTATTTTACTTTAACATGGAAGGTTAATGTTCCCCTCCTACTTTCATCAAAGTTCGCTAATTTTAATGACCATTACTTATTTATGTTTCCGTTTTTGTTTCAGTCAAAGATGCCCATGATTATTTACGCAGCCTTTTAAAAATGGGAGAGTTATCAGAACGAGCTCTAAAACTAACAGAAATAGCTTTAAACATAAATGCTGCTAATTATACCACTTGGAAATATAGGTAAATTCAAATATTTGTGTCTTTTGTTGTTTAAAAGTTTCCTACCTTCATTTTTGCTCACTTACCATGGTTCACTGTGATGAAGCACAAGAGACAATATATCTATCACAGAATTGCTATCACTTTGAAACTGAATTTATTCGAAGAAAACATACTCAAGCTATGCATTTTCTTCTCCTATTTTGATGAACACTCCTCAGCCATGAAGAAATGCTTGGAATTATTTGAGGTTGAGTTTTACTCCTGCGCTGCCCACAGATTAAATAGCAAATGTTTTTTTTCAGTCAAAGTTTGCCTGAACAGATATCAACGCATTCAACAAAAAGTGGTTTCGGAAACACTCGTCACTGTTAAAATGAACATTGTTGCAACATCTTCGAAATGCCATTTTTTGCAGTTACCGGATAGAAAAGTTCATAAATGGACCTGTTGCAAACTTTTGCTAGAGTAAAAATAAGAGTTGTTCCTTACAGATAATGTCTCAAAAATCATGGTGAGTGCATCGGCAAACTCTGAAATACACTCCTAACTTCACCATCTACGTAAGAAATTTTCGTTTTTTTAAGCTTCCTGCTTCCTAAAGGATACTACGGCACAGGTGAACATTTTGTTAGAGGAGTCGTTCCATTTAATCCCTCCTCAACATGGCCGACGCTTCCGCGCGCAAGTTGAGGAGAGCACGAGGTCAATCAAGGCGGATATCTACCAACCGAGAAAAATATGAATATAAACACGCCGATTGTTATCAGGTGGTTAGAAGTTAGAATCATTGTCCCGTCACATGTGTTTTGACGGATTGTCGTCGGCTATGTTGAACATTGCGTGGTATCATTGTTAGCAGGGGTTGGATCGAATGACTCCACTAACGAAATATTCACCTACGCTGTGGTATCGTTTTTGAAGCTCGAAGAAACGCAAATTTTTTATGCAAATTGTAAAGTAAGGAGTGCATTTCAGACTTGACCGATGCGCTCATCATGATTTTTGAGACATTTTCCATGAGTTGCAACTCTTATTTTTGCTCTAGCAAAAGTTTACAACAGGCCCATTATCTGGATCACTTATCACATGAAACTGAAATAGAATTTACATCTGCCATATATCTCACAGTTTGTCCTTTTTTAAATTTATGTAAGTAGTGTAGTTGATATTATTTTGGAACTTAGTTAGAACTGATCCCTCCCCTTTCCCACTAGAAAAAAAATAATTAATTTTCCATCATTGCTTTTTTCAGGAGAGATATCCTACGCCACCTAGGAACAAATACTTTAGAAGAATATGATTACATCAAAATGATGATACCAGATAATGCCAAAACTTATCAAGTATGGTAAGTGAGCTGTTATTTTAAATCCTACTCACTCTTTAGCCTGTTGCAAATATGTCTATTAATATTCAGTAACTATCATGAGTGGCGGTAGCCACCACCGGGCAAGTAACCTATCCTCCAACAATTGGCAACACAGCACAGCCCGGTCGAGGCAACGACACCATAGTTACACGAACTTGGCTTATTTGGGTTTTTAGTTGCGGTCTCAAAAGCTTTTCAAAGCAACGGAGCGACGGATTTTAGAAATTTTGGTGTCTAAAGATGCNTGTTGCAAATATGTCTATTAATATTCAGTAACTATCCTCTAGACATGTATCTACCATGTATTATTAAAGTAATAAACACAAGACTAGAAAACGGAAGGTAGATACTGTCTAGCCTGAAGAACATATTATTAAAGTAATAAACACAAGAATAGAAAATGGAAGGTAGATACTGTCTAGCCTGAAGAACAAGTGGCATTGAGGATCTCTTTTGGCTTCATACGGACGTCGCTAAATATTTCATACTTTTAAAGCACTAGTCATAGTTAGTTTATATGAAGCCGTGTATGTAAGAACAGTGGATGTCGCATTTTTAAGTTTTGAAAAAAAACAGGCATTTTCAAGTCTTGAGAAAATCGCATTTTAAGTTTTCAAAGCTGTGCATCTCTTTCAGTTTTTTTTTTTTTTTTTGCCTGTGATCATGAAATCTTCAAAACAAACCAAGGAAAAAAAGGAAACAAGGAAACCAATACACATTTTGCCATGAAATCAGGCAATTTTCCACAAAATCAGACATTTTTCTAAGAAACCAAAATGCCACATTGCGGCGAACTGTTGACGTTTTGGAACTTCTCGCCACCTTTCATTTTGTTAAAGTTACCTCTTTGATCTGCCATAAAATATGTGCTCTGATAGATTTTGCTCCTCTTATTTGGCAGGCACCACTGTCAGAAAATTTTAGAATGGATCGGTGAACCAATGGATATACTGGAGTTCATTGAAGAGGTTCTGAAACAAGATAGTAAAAATTATCATGCATGGCAGCTGAGGCAATGGGTACTGCTGCATTTCAAGTAAGTGTTATCAATTTTAAAATATGCCATGCTTTCGTCATAATAGACTGATTCAGTGGCTATTTAATTTGTCGTACATTACAGTTTGATGGATCCATTACAGAGGATAGACCCTTTAGAACTTTACAAATTAACCTAATCTCATTTGGTTAACTTGTTAAATTGGGGAGATTTTTAAATAAATAAATCTTTAGATATAACAAAATGATTTAACTCAAATTAAATTATCCAGATATGAAATAAAACAAGTTACCTAAGGGATAACAGCGGAAATGACGGTGTAAGTCAGCAATCACATATCTCGTTTGTGGTGTCTGAAAATCTCCGCCTCTATGTTTTTTTTTTAAAGAAGAACAAATTGACATAATTCCTTGAAGTTTTTGCAGAATTTTCTTCACACAGAAAAGAAAAATCACGGCAGCTTTAAAGAATTGCCGTTCAGTAGTTTTCCGTTTAAAAAATAAAGTATGACAGGAAGTCTGCGAAGTCGCAAACCGAGTTATGTGATTGCCGACTTACACCGTCTACATACTTAATCTCATTGTAGGTATTTATGTAGGGTATTTGAGCAGGTTTAAGTTTTTCTTACAATTGAAAGGTCTCGTGTCCAAGGGTTCTAAATTGAAGTATGATTCAGACAGATTTAAGCAAAATTAGCCTAAGTCCATCAGTAGTCAGCAGTCTAATTATCGTAATTAACTGACAAAGCATTAGACAAAGTAGACAAAGAGAAAATGGAGCGATCCTATTGGTGGAAGCAAATGGTTGCAATGGACAAAGGTAGTAAGGAGGTAAGAAGGCAGTAATAGATCAACAACAACCCATGAGAGACCCTATAGTTAGTCCATTATCATTTCCCTCAGTCTACGACAACTACTCATTTCAACCAATAGGGGCTAGGCTCCCCGTGGACCCCTCCCTCCCTTTGTACGCCAATGACCTTTATATACCCTAGCGTTGAACCAATATCCTTTCCTAATAAATTTCATATTTTTTTTTTATCGTATTCTACATGATTCTGTGGTTTATCAGTGCCTACAAGATTGTTTGTTTATGTCAGTGCTAGATGCCAATAAGCAGGGAGATGAAATATAAGAGTTGGGCTCAGCAACTCATCAATTTCACTGTTCATTTATTTTATTACCATGAAATTTTTGTTTGTTAAATCTTAATTTTTCTATAGATTTTCAGGAACAGCCGAAGAGATTGCATTCGTTAGTAAAATGATTGAAGATGATGTCCGCAATAACTCAGCATGGAATCATCGATACTTCGTCATCCACACATTATCAGAATTTACTGACGCTGTTTTTAGTGCAGAAATCGACTACACTATCAGCAAAATTAAGCTAGCAACCAATAATGAAAGTGCTTGGAACTATTTAAGAGGGTAGGTATTGTTCAGTTGAAGACTGATATCTTTAATAATTTTTTATTGTGACAAACCGGTTGATCTGCTTGACGTCCAATCGGCCACATCTCCGTCTTGTCAGTGCATTAGGCTTGTTAACCACCCTGCAGTGGTTTTGCTGCAGGCAGTGTCATCCCATGTTCTACCAATAGATGGCAGGCCTCACCAGGAAGTCTTTCCATATGTTCTCGATGTTCTCCCCCTTAGGAGAATCCATATTTCTTCATTTTTATTTTTGATTTGCAAAAAAAGAACAACTTTTCTATTTTTTGAAGATTTTTTTATTTATTTTTTGTTGAGGTTTGAGTTGGTAAATTTTCCATTTGAACATTCTAGCTGCTTTATGAGAGCAGTATTAAACTTTAACTGACCCTCTTGTCAGCATCATATCAATTAGCCTTTGTTTGCCAATCTTATTAGTATTCTAAGTGGTGAACAAGGAGTCCTAGTGGTATTCAGTAATTTTTTTTTACTCTCTCTCAGATATTTTCAAACATTGCAATAGAGGTACACATCTCTCTATTTCAGCCGTCAATGTGCATTTTCGTACTTTCACCATCAATAACCTTTCCCTTTCATGATGAACGAAACCTCCGCTCTGCTGGAAAATTTGCCTCTCTCAGTGTCTTTTTTTCTTCCATTGCCTTAGCCAATTTTTTGTACCTAGTGTGTATCATAGTTGGTTTTTTGTTTCCCAGTACCCTGGCACAAAAAGGTCAGGGACTAACCCATCCGGAAATAGAGAAGTTGACCAAACTGTTGTACAGCCGTGGATGTCGCTCCCCACAGGTGCTCATGTTCATGGCAGACAAACTAAGAGAAGATTGTGAAAAAGCAGAGGCATCAGATGATATAGGAGAAAAAGTTCGTTTGTGTTCTGAGGTAAGTTAAAAGACTCAAGTTGGTTATATTCGTAACAAAATTTTGCACAACTCTCGAGAAACCTGTTAAAATTGTCTGATATCAACTTTCAAGTGAGACATAAGTGCATATAGCTTACATTAGATTAATACAAGTTGAAACCACCGCCCATCAGAAAACCTAAATCACCTTCCAGTAATACCATGATTATCCTGCATCAGTGTCGGAAGCTTTTTTTCATGCTGTTTCTTTTTTATTTCTATGTGTATTGTTTTCTCGTGATTTCTAACTTCTTCTGCATGTTTTCAATTATCTGACATTTTCTATATTTGGCACAGGCCCTCACCACAAAGCACTGGATAATGAAGGTATCAGAGGTGTCATCAGCTAAGTTGGCACGCGTTTATATTCTGTTTGCAAGTGGCCACGATGCAGTTGTCCAATAGTGATTGAGGATTGACGTATTGACGGATTGCTTACAAGTGGAAAGTAAACAAATGCCAACTTATCTGACAACACCTCCACTGAATTTCATATCGGCCAGGATTTTTAGATTGGTATGTTCACCAACGGCTCTGCATACAGAGGTCAGAGTAACTGTCCTTTTGGAAATGTTTGTCACTGAATTAAATTATATTTTTTCGTGGAGTCTATTTGCTTTACCTTTCTTACAACATTATTTTTGTTTTTGCATTGCTCTATTATGTCCAAACAGATTCAAATCTTTTTCATCTAAATAATTGTTATCAGTTCTAATCATGATTCTTTTTAATTTGTTTCAGTTGTATGAGGTCTTAGCAAATAAATGGGATAAAATCCGCTGTAGGTATTGGACGTATTTGTCTCAAGAGTTCTCCGCAGAATTCGGATCCAGAATAGGCTCAAATGAGAAGACTGAAGTAGCCTCGTAGTATCCTGAAACTACACAAGTTCTAGGAATGTCTTATTGGTTGTATTCTAACTTTATTCTTGTGTTTCCTTCTCAAACATTCTTATAATGTCAGAGAATTTGCAAAAAATTTTATGACCAATTGAATTGTATAAAATTGTTAAATGAAAATTGTAAAGAATCAACAAATTGAGTCTATAGAAAAATTTTAATTAATTTAGTTAGAATCAGTTTAATTACAATGATCAAAACCCAGAGCCATTGTTCTTCAGCGGGCCGATTATTGAAATTGATAGACAAAGCTATAGACAAAGAAGACATAGGGGGTACAAAGCAATCCTATTGGTTGAAATGGGTGGTTCTCATAGACCAAGGGGGAAAATGATAGACTAACTGTCTGGTCTCTCGTGGGTCGCCGTTAGTTAGTCTATTACCTACCTCCTTTGTCCATTGCAACCACCCGCTTCTACCAATAGGATCCCTCCAAATCCTTCCTGTCTTCTTTGTCTATTGCTTTGTCTATCAATTTCAATAATCAGCCCACAGAGAGAGAAGGAAACAATTTAAAACGTTTCAATACATAATAGAGTTTCTAATTTCTATTCCAAGGGGAAGCCTCCCATGATCAACTAAGTGATTCTCAACTTTAACTTAATTTAAGTTAATTTGAATTTGAACATCACTAACTCAGATCCGCAGTCAGTGCATATGTATCGCCGAGGCTAAATTTCGTTATTCGCTATTTAATTTGTAATATTTGGTTTTGAAAACAACCCCAACAGTTAAAGTCTGGAAACAAATAAACAATAAGCTTAACAATGAACTATCCGGTTGAATTCTCTGAAACCCTCTGATACTGATACTACTAGGCAGTATTTGAGAGCAGGTGAAAAGGCTGACAATTTTGACAATGAAACGAGTAGCTTTTAAATAGAAAAGACATTAAAAATCTTATTAGAGCCAGAATAGGACACGGTCTATATCCCTCCCATCTACACAGAATAAATTTACGAGCTTCTGATCTGTGCAATTGCGGACTAACTGGCGACCTCAACCATATCTTCTTTCAGTGCCCCCTACTACAACACGATGCCTTCTTTAAAAATTTAATTAACGCTAATTACTTCCCCCCCTTCAATATATCGTTCATTCTTCATAACCCTCTCCCTTCTATCTATAAAATAATCACCGAGTTCTTAAACCAGAATAATATCTCCTTATAAAAGCCCGTAATGATAACAAGCCCTTCATCACCCAATTCTCCTCCCCCCTAGCTATTCCCATTCCCGCCATTTAAGTACATCCATCTATCTCTCTAATCCTACAAAACCCTACAAATCTACCTTTATACCTAATGTTCACTTAGTATGTTTTCCAGGACCCAGTCTACCATAGGTTTAGTCGCCACAGTGGGTCTTGTGGCGTGAAGATGGTGTTGGTACCCCCTCAGTCCCCTTTTCATATCTACTCCCTATCCCCCCACTTAACTCTCTCCTCAACATTTTAACAACTTAACCACAATGTGTCTATAGATGGCTGTGGGCTCCACACCGTAGCATGAAGCCAATAAACCATCATAGAAGAAGAAGAAGAAGAAGAGTAGCTTTTAATTTTTTTACTTAAGTTATCTAGGTAGGGAAAGAAGGAGTGACATGATAAGTTGACAGTGGTTATTTCAAAGTCTTTTGGCCTTGTTTATTTATGGGATTGCAAGAAAAATCAAAGCGTAGACAAGCAACTAGAATTCTGATGCAATATGAAGGGTTCTTAGTTACCTGACCATTCCAAGCTTAACTTACTTCAGATGAATCTTCAGTGCAAGTTCTAAAATCAGCGATCACAACACATATATAAATTCGAAGACTCATAAGTTCTAGCAGAATATCTCTAGTATTCTTAAGGCCAAACATGAGCTTCGAAAAGTGAATAATAAAAGCTATAAGTTGATGAAGGATTTACCTATAAGACTCCTGGATATTACCTTTGCTGCGGGCGTTTGCTACGATTCTATGATCGGTCGAATCGAGGTCATTTTACTTAACACTACTTTTTACCATTATCAGTTGGATTGCATTTTCCAATGAGAAACTAAAATTGTAGATCAAAACAATTTTATGCATAGGGAAACTAATGTCACGTATGTTGTCACTAAAACGAGCCCGAAATTGCAGTTCCTAATTGCGAAATGTTGCCCAATCTTTAGAGAGAACTAGATGGATTCAACCATAATCTGCCTAACTGTAGTAGGATTACATTTTGCAGTTAGGAACTACAATTTCTATCCCACCCTGAAAAACACTCATGTGCATAGGGGAACTATTGGTACATATGTTGTTTCTAAACCGAGTCAGATGTTGTAAGTAGTTCCAAGTTGCAAAATGCAGTCCATTTCACATTGTCTAACTTCCTCTCAGGTTCAATTTTTTAAATGGAGAACTAAATAAGTAACGTAAGCTCTTGGAACTTTCTCAGCGCTTTCCAGATTATGAGGAATACACTCATATAATTTTTAGTTGGAATGCTGGTTCCGATTGTTTCAGTATCAGTTGAAAGAAAAAAACTTCTGTCTAAAATTTATTTTTCCTGAATTTCAATAGAAGTATAAAATAAAGAGATTGATGTATCTCTTTTATTGCAGCAAAACGATTTTGACGCTTTTATCAGTTATATCAGATAAGTTTCTCTACCGGAGAAGTGATCAGACAAGTTTACTCCTGAGCTCAAGTCGAGAAGTAGAAAGTCGAAAACTAAATAGGATACAATGTATTTCGAGTGTGGATTTAGTGTATTTTCTGAAAGAGATACACTATATTGTTTCCATCCTACATATATTTTTTTTTTTATTTTAGAAGAGGAATCAATCAATACGTAGTCTCAATCATATCTCTCAAGAAACATTTTTAAAAGTTTACGAATCTGAGAAATGTCTTGAGAAATGAGGGGAATCATTTTGATTTGCGCTACTTCATACTTACCTATATTAATATTTTTCGAGAGATTTTTGACATCCCGTCACAATTTCAGATAGCTGCTCTGCATAGCTTTCACTGTTAGGATGAGGATGAGGTGGTGTTCCAACGATCCGTAGCCATCCATGGAAAATTTTTCAGGAGAGTGGTTGATTGATCTGAGCGAGTATAGTTACGATCGCAAACGGAACTGAATGATTTATTATCACTATCACTGCTACACTCACCATTAGTAGGTTTTAGCGTGTCTGATACTGAAGCAAAATCTCTCAACGATCTGATGAGTGATCTTGCAATGTCTTCCTTCAACAAAATACCACCCATTCGGTGATTAGTGGTGTACTTGATGCGATGATGACAAATCATAATTTGCCACAAAAAGCAACTACTCTCTTGAAAACACTAAGGAAGTGCATCAAAAGAGAACTGGCCCCTGAATACTTTTGCCATATTAATTGGGATTGAGCAAAGTCTTAGACCTCGTCCACACAAGCGTAGTTGGAAGAACTTCAGGCGAACTTGTTCCTAAAATTTATTATGTCTCAGCCATAATTTATTCCACAAAACCCGAGTTTGTGGAAATTCGCCCAAAAGTTCGGCTAACTGCGCTCGTGAAAATTTTACTTCCATCTTTTTCTTCAGATTTGGATCCTTTGAGCAGAGTTTATCTTGCGGTAAGCATTGATAGTATGCCTATCCGTGGTATGGAAGTTTGGTCGATCTTCCTCTATAAATAACCATCACAGAGAGAACCCTTAGGAAACAAGTCTCTGCTTATTTAGGATTTGATCGATGCGTCTGTACTGCGAATGCATACAATAAAGTGTACAAGGTCTATTCAATTAGAAACAGGATTTCGATGATGACCAACCCACGGAATTGGACTTTCTTGAACTTTCCTAAAAGCTGGCAACATCCGAAAGAACGTCATGTCCACAAATTTGAAAAATTTAAACTAGCTTTTTTTTGTACATGGTTTGGAGTGAGGCAACCTCACGAGTGTCCTGCGATTCTTCAGGGATTCCTGACAAAAAGTAATCACTTGCTCACTGTCATTGTCTTTAGGAGCTAATTCAAATGAAAATTGTCTCTTGTTGTTAGTTAAAGATAAGACCCATAATTTTGTTGCCCTTGACTTATCTCTTTCGAAGCAATCCCCATCGACATCAATGCTTTTTCACCAATCCTGTTTCAATAGCAAACAAATTCGTTTTGAACTCCTTTGGGTGGATTGCACGCAGCTTTATGAAATGATTTTCCTTAACCTCAGAGATTGTGTCAAATATTAGACCATTTTCTTGTTTTCAAAATTCGGATCAGTGTTAAAATGTCTGCAAGTTTAAAGAACAGTAGAGATTAGGGAAAATTATTTCATGAAGCTGCATTTACCCAAAGGAGTTCAAAACGAATTTGTTGGTAATTGAAATCGGATTGGTAAAAAAACATTGATGTCGGTGGGGATCATTTCGAAGGAGGTAAGTCAAGGGCAACAAAATTATGGGTAATTAATCTTTAGAAACAATTTTAATTTGAGATAGCTCCCAAAAACAATGACTGTGAGCGAGTGATTACTTTTCGGCAGGAATCCCTAAAAACCGCAGAATACTTGTGAGGTTGCCTTACTCCGAACCGTGTCCAAAAAAGCTAATTTAAAGTTTTCAATTTTGTGAATGTCACCAGCTTTCAGGATAGTCCAAGAAAGTTTGTTTCGGACGTACATAGAGGTAGTTATCACCAAAATCCGTCTTTTAATTGAATCAGTGAGAACGAAAACACACCAACTCGGTATCTCGAAAATGCTTAAGTTTCATTAAAGAAAGTCAATTTTCATGAGGATCATTGATGATAGCGCATCTGTTCCAATTTGGACCTTTTAAGTGTCCTTGACTGTGTTTCGGCACCAAAAATCTGACTTTAACTAACTTCTTCACGTGCTGTGCAGTTTTGTGTGTGTCTTGATTATTTTCATTTTTTCGAGTTGGTGTGTTTTTGTTCTCACTGATTCAATTGAACAGATCTCATATCTTCATTCATGTCCTTCAAAATTGCACCCAATAATAATTTCACCCAAATATACTTAAACTCAACTAAAAAATATCAGTGCTTAGGCGACTGCTTTCTTCAATTAAAGGTGGTCTGAGGAATTTCTAGGATATGGCTGGTTCTGTGTTAATTTTTTCAACCTTACACTAGAATTTATTTAATTCCAGATCAGACTTCAAACATAGATATGATTTCTTCATTTAGATTCAGTAAAAATAGTAAAGTCTAATCGATGAATAAATCAATTGATCAACAAATTAATTGATTGTTTCAAAGGTCGCACACTTTTGTGTTCGAGCTCATTCAGGAGGTTCGCTTAGGATTGCAATGAATACAACAAAAATATAAGGATGTACAGGGTAAAAGTAATGATAATTTTAATAATAAATAATTAGATAAACACATTAGAAACGTAGCATTTCCGTAAAGGAGAAATAGAAAGCTCATCAAGATAGCATATTCAGGTACATTGGTCATTGAAACTAGGGATGCGCTCACATGTTGAGCCACTTAAAGGCAGTAAATACAAACATTGACTTTCAATGTCAAATGTCTAATCATGAAAAATGAATACATAATGTGAGAACCAAAATCATTTTTGATGGAGGTCAAACTCAAGCATACATCATGCTGGATGATAATAACTTAATCAACTCACAGTTTTCTTCAATCGTTCAGACAGAATGCGGGAAACGCAATTAAGTAAAATGATCAGATTGATAACACTCTTAGATGTAAACTTAACTCGAGTGGGTGATTGATGATCGGTTATGAATTTGGAAGGTTGATTCAAAGTCAGCATGATCTATTAATTTAAGAATCTACTTTTGAATATTTTTAAAACCTCAATTTTTTGAATTGCTGAACTGTCCTATTTTTATCGTACTTAAAATATGTATAATTTACACTGCGATTAGTTGCCTTAGTTTGGCTGAACATGTGAATGCCCTAATTTAAGTGGCCAAAAGCCAGAGTTGACTCGCCGGGAAAAATCTTTGGATATTTTGAATAAACTTAAAAAAACAACAATTTTTATGAGAGGAGGTGGGTTCATGGAGAGAAGCTGCATTTCAAAGTAAAATTGCAAAAAACTGTCGGTTTTTTCTTCTTTTTTTTAATAACAGGAAAAACTTTTCAAACAAAGCCAGATCACACGAAAGTAGTTTACGCGTGTGTTCACCAAACTGATCCCAACTATTCTTTATTCTAGAGATGGATAAGAATTTCCCCCAGATCAATATCGGGAGATCAATCACGGATATTTTTATCAAAGGGTTACCAACACAATCTGAACACAGCTGGCATTAAAGAGGGGGGACTTCCCTCATTGATAGGTTGATAGGTAGACCAATATCAATGTAAATTGCCTAGAATTGATACCTGGAATTGATATTGATTCCTGAGAAAAAGAAGAGAGGCGGAATGGGTAGGGTGAACTGACGGTCTCTCTTACTTGGTGTTTACATATTTAATAAAATTATACCGCTTTAGTGAGTTCTGGGACTATAATCCGTTGGTAAAAATTCTCTAGCTTGATCTCCCTGACATTGGGGAAACACCAATTAATATCTGGGGGGAAAAGAATGGTTAGGATGGATGGGGTGAATGGACGCTTTTACTACTCTCTATACCGTTATTACAAGAAGGGGTCAAATCTATGATGAATATAGGTTAGAAAACCTTTCATGAGACTTTGATTTTAGGGACCAATAAATGTATCATTGCCTTCGATTGAAATAAAGTGAAATTGATGCGCCCTAATTGGAAAAGCGGAATAACAGTTCGATTAATAGTTAATCTAATAGTTCGAGAAAACTATGAGTACTTTTTTTCATTAGTCATTTTAAATTAAAGGACTATCTGAGGTGTAAATCTTAGTCGTTTTCAGCCTGTTAAAGAAAGAGAGTATTTCATCTAGCGATGAATACCTTTCCTTTACGATGCAGTGAAAAATACCTTCAAAGACCAAAGAAAGGATTTGCCAAAGTAAAATAATCAAGAATCATTCGGTGCAGTTATGACTCGAGATAAATTTTTTCAAATGAAATATGAAGATATAATTGCTAGAGCCATTGACTGGATTATCAAATGAACGTATTTGAATGAAACAGAGATGAACGATGAGCTTGTTACAGGTTCAGATTAGGCCCATTAACAAGCGTATGATAAAAAGAAAAACTATTGATTTTGACTCAAACCAATAATTTGAACAGAGCAAAAAATTTTGGTCTGGTAAAGATCACACCGAATATTTTTCAATTCAAAACAAAATACGCTTGAAGTGAATCCGAGCATTCTATTCGTGGACACTGAAATCTTTCCTGTCTATGACTCGTAGTTGTACTCTTTTGGATTGTTTCCAAAAAATCAAATCCTGGAAGAGGATGCAGAGGTAGATTTTGCGTCAGGTAAGTTGGCAGTTGTTTATTCTCGACTGTCACACGTAGTGGACACATTCATCCTAATACCTCCCCAGAGAGAGGTATTGGTTTTCGGTATCGCACAATGTCAGCGCAGTCGCTTGCAAACAGAAAGTGAACAACTGCCAACTTATCTGACACGAGTTCTACATTATTTCATGGATCAATCAAATGGCAGAGCTGTAATCAGCTGTGCTTTAGTTGTCATTTTTTATACCGGAATTTTGATGCATTCGGAAAATATACTCTTCAGATAAAAATCTACTTGAGGGGATGATGAAAAAATAAAAAATAAATAAATAAGTAAAACTCAAAAAGCATAATGAATTGTAACAGGTTTGGTAAATATCAAAAGAATGCCTGGATCCGAGTAAGAAGAACAAATCTATAATATGATTTTTGGATGAAAATTGGGTAATAATGACTAAACTTGATGTGCCATTCAAGAAATTTGATTGGCTCAATTTGTTTCATTAGTTCGGAATCATAAGATGCAACATGTAGCAGCAATTACTTGGACATTTGCTCTGACTTTTTGACAAATGCCGAAACTAAGCTGGAATTTTTTAGTTCAAAGCTAAGGTAAGGGAGAAGCTCAATTTTTCATTCTTGGCTTAATATCAATTATTTGATTGAGGTTGGTTAATCTTTGATTATGGTTAAAAAGATAGTTATAGGATAAGGCACCATAGTGAAATTTCGGACTAACAAGATGTGAAATTTCCATTAATTAATTGAATTTTACTAATCTCAGTCCAAAAATAGTAGAATGTGTCTTCATCATTCAGTATTAAAAAAAAAAAAAAAAAAAAAAAAAAAAAAAAAAAACTCAAATGAGGCTATATTTCATATACTTTCCTGCTCTGATGATCAAAGCTAGCCTTTCAAGCAATTTGCAATTTTGATATCAGTTCAATTTTTTGTACCAGGAGACAGACTTGGATTCACTTGAACTTGTAGAGAAAAAAAAATGGAAAATAAAATGAAAAATTTATAAGAGATGGTTTTAAAATGTTCCAATTCGAAAACTGAAAGAATCAGGATTCAAAACGACTAGATTAGGTATACATTTTCGGTCGAGAGACCAAACTGGCTATGTTGAAGTTCGGGGTGCTCAACTCTGGTTCTGGCAATTAGTTAATTCATCATTGAAAAAATCTATTCAATACAATGATTTTCGATTAGGTCTAAGAAACAAATATTAAAAAAAAAGTATGGGGATGAAGAAATTAACACAAAAAGGAATTTTGAAGAGGAAGATGATTAGATTCATTCCTAATAGGTTAAGTTACGCAATAATAACAAAAACTTATGAAAATATTTGGAAAATATGAGGAATCTCCTGTACAAAATAAATAAATAAACAATACAAAATGTACAGGGCTACCCACATTCAAGCAGCAAGTTACAAACAAATGTACTAATACAAGTAACGATATACAACTTTTGATGATGTGATCAAACTCCAAACGCGATTCCTTCAACAATCATCCATACAGCAATGACTAATGTCAAAAATTGCGTGTTTCAGATTGCGACATTGTAAGTCTCCAATCATGTTTTAGTTTTTTAAAGGAAAACTAGGCAACAGTTTCTTTTGAACTTTCTTGTAAATTTTCTTCTTGTATTCTTAGAAGAACCACAAATTTTCAAGGAAACATTTTGATCAGTATACCTTGAAGAAAATAAAACATAAGCGGAGATTTTTGACTCTTTCACATTCAGCCATCAATAAATTCTTTTTTCTGTCAACGTATAGCTGATAATGGAACTTTGACTTTGCAGAAAATCTCCTACAAGATTCAATCACGCAATCATTTTCTTTATTTTTTGATTACTAAATTGGCCGTTTAGTGAAAAAAGAATACTGGACCTTTAATGAGTAAGAAGGAATACAATACCAAAGAATACATTTGGAAGAAGAGGCGAGGCTGACTGCAAAAACAAGAGATGAACACAAACAACAGGTTCTTTCTGCTGCTCTCGAAAAAAATTTAAAAAAATGAACCTGCTCTAATTACCCTTCCTGCGTACAGTCTTTCATACAAGTTGACCCTAAGAGCCAATTCAAGCAAGTGGGGCAGTTAGAGCAAGGCTAATCTATGATATACTCAAATTCAGAGCAACAGCAAGAACCTGGTTCTTAGTTCCTAAATACAGGTGACTCAAATGATCAAGATAAGGTGCAATTCAATTCGCATTAAGCCTAAAATCCTGTGAGTTAACATTAACACATTAGCTGTACACATACACACACACACAAAATGCCTGGGTCATCTCAGATTTCATTGGATCATTCAGTATTTGCAAAATTCTAGAGAAAAAAAGAAAAAATACACATTGAATCGTGTTGATGCTTGGTATTTTTAATTTGTACAAACAGCAGCTGAAAAATCATACATTATAGGTCTAAAACATCAAAATTTAGAAAAACCTTCCATGATCAGTTTCTACTTGTTTAATTCTGATGCAATCGGACGAACTTGGAGAGTACTCAATAAGATATTTAAAGCCAAAATGAATTTAAATGAATCTGTGTAATTAAAGTCCAACCACCCATAGCGCCTACAAATTTTTTCTTTTAGTATTATATTTAAGTGTAGGTAATAATCCGGAGAGCAAGATGGTTAATGCTGCATGGCTCTTAAATGGTTGGACGTTAAATTGCACGATTTTCTTTGATACAGTGATTGTTCATAGAATTCGGATGCCCTGAAGCAAACAATGCTCTTATGTTAAACCATACTTCGGATACGTATAATGATCCTTTCATGATAGACTGTATTTGGGTATCGATATTTCACTTGTCCTGATCAAGGTGTCTATAGAGTTGGCAGGAAACAATTTCTTGACTTTCTACCTGCTGATATTTGCACATACAAAAATTGCACTTTAACAAATCAAAAAACAAAAAAGACAAACCGCGAGGCTAAGTCCTAAGCTTTTCTTGAACAAAGACACAAATCACCCTTCAAAATAAATTGAAAATGTTATAAATAGGTACATGATCAAGATATCAACAGTCACTTAAAACGTAATGTTTTGAATAAATTATCATTCCATGCATTACATTTCTGCTTCAACGTTTGATGAGGGCCTTAGTCTTAGCACTCAACCTTCCAGTTAAATTTTTTTGTTGATCTTGGATGGTGCATTAAATGACTTTGATTGTTAAACCACACAACAAAAAGGAAATTCAACAATCAAAGTCGTAATCAACCAATCGACAAGTGCAAAATTGTTGCAGTCATAAGTTAACCGCTTATGGTCACAAAGCATAAAGAGGAGAAGTAGCATTTTCTTTGTTTGAATATTATAAAGTTTGGTCTATTGATTAGAAACTATGATGCCAAACTTATATTTTCAAGACATCCAACTGTATGAACAAGGCAATCTTGAGTTCAGGCCTCAATAAGATGCTCTAGATTTTAGAATGCAACGGAAGATTTGCACATTGAAACTGATTGTAAGACTCAAGACAACGATCTCCTGACTTATCTTAAAAGTTGGCCGATTAAATCAACGCTAGCTCTACTCGTCTTGTTATGATGTGAAATCTAAATTAGCATAGAATTAGTAGCGTCAGTGTAAAATTAGATTCATCAGTGAAGATGGAACTTCAATCAACAGCAAATACATTAATGTTTACATTTAATTATGAAGTTAATGAGCTTAAACTTTATCTTGAAATCTCAGGCGCACTTAAAAATACTTTCATGACCTTTTTGAGTACACCAAACTTTAACACTCTTGAATTTTGCACTCTATCAAATGAATTAGTGATATAAGCTTGCTTCCAGATGGCATATTCGTGAGAGTTGAACAAAAATTCTAGAAAATTCACCTTGAGTATTGATTGCAGTTTGACTGCTTGAAATATTCATCGATACAGTTGCTTATGTTACGATAGATACGTGAATTCACTCCTACATTTATTTCATTAAATATGTTTCAAATACAATTTCATAGTAAAAATTCAATTAGATACTTTGGGAGCAGTAAAAAAATACAAAGACCTCAGGTTTGAGACCGACCGTTTATACATTACAGGGAAAAATTGAGCTAAAAATGTACAAGAGTAAAAACTCAGAAAAATTACACATTTACAAAATTTGATACACTATAAAATATTTGTACAGATAGAAAAATTAAATAAAATCAAACTTAAAAATAAACTTTTATAAAAAATCTGATGACAATTTCACTAAACTATTAGCGCAAGAACACAGGGATGCCGTGGTTGATCATCAGTTCCTGCGTTCTGCGAGCATCGTCCGATTTGCATTTAAAATTAAAACAATTACAGCTTAGCATATAAAATTAACTCATTTATTAAGCGTAGATTAATAAGGAACCAAAAACAAATTTCGTATCAACACTTGGTAGTCTGCGTGGCGTTTTTGGTGGAACTTTTCGTGTTGCCATTTTGGCGGGCAAAGATGCATCCATTTGAGGTTGGTGTTGTGCTACCATTGCTCTTGCCTCTTGCCTTATTCATTATCCTTGCACTGCTACCTGCCAGACTGTGCTGTTCCAACGCAGTCGCCGTTGAATCACCAATTCCGTCAAACGCACCTTCAAAAACACCTTCGTCAACTCCTTCATCAACGTCTTCATCGATCGGCTCTGGATGCGGAATTGGCTCCGTTTTATCTTCAATAACAACACGTACTTGCGTCTTTTCAAACTGCGGCGGTGGCGCCGTATCTTCATCGTCCGATGTCAGGGAGAAGTCTTCTATACTCCGCGATATACGCAAAGGAGTACTGCTTTCATTCTTATCCTCAAAAGGGCAACTTTCATTGGCATCCTGATTACTGATATTGAAACTCTTTCGTAACTCATTAGCGTCATCACTGTGGTAGAAAGAGAGTTTTGAGAAGTCATCATCGATGTCCGGCAGGAGGATCTTCACAAGCTCCATGAAGGATGGGCGGATACTTGGCTTATACTGCCAGCATAACCGCATTATTTCATACAGCTTGTCTGGACAGTTGTCTGGCCGTTCCATGATCCCTCCATCGCGAACATAACGAAGTACTTGATCGTTGGCTAAACCCTAGTAAGAAAATAATGCAACATTAGATCAACAGAGATACTAAAGTCATTTCTATCATTAGCAGCCAAAATGTTTTTTGGAGTAGCAAAATTTTATCAACTGTTTTTCATTCTTCTCCATAAAATTCGAGCTCTTTTCTAATCTTATGAGAGTTTCATCCATTAAAATAAAAAGTCAAGCACTTCCGTTGCCAGGATCTGTAATAATTATCACAAGCATTCATTCATGGACAGCACACCTCTAATGTAGTGTGTATCAAGGTTACAATAATAATCTCCGCTAGACACAATAATTTCAAATTACATAGACTACAAAGTAGGAGGGATCACATGAGATAATAGTGCACAAAATAATGTTTACCTGATAGGGCTGAGATGCAAGAGTGGCCATCTCCCACAAGACAACTCCGTAGCTCCATACGTCGGACTGGCTGGTAAAGACACCATCCTTCAAACTTTCTGGCGCCATCCAACGGACTGGTAACAAACCTTTCGTGCCTGGTAAAATAAGAAAATATGTTGTGACAATAGATGCATGCGAGTTCCAGACCAAAAAAATGTTCATGGTTTCAAAATTGGCTAAAGTTATTTACAGGATAGAAATAATCTCGGAAAGTAGACGGAACAATCTGATATCTACTTTACTGAAAAAGTGCTTCCTCAGCTGAAAAAGAGGCTCTGTAGTCATTGCCGAACAGTCGTAACTTCTCTCAAATCTGAGTCCCAAATACAATTTGACACCAAATTAGATGAGATAGTTCTGGCATATTGATAGTAGTAACTTCTCTACCTCATCAATGGACAATTTGAGCAAGACGTTTTCACTTTCTCATCTGAAAAATGCTCAAGGAGCCGAGTTCACATTATTGGTTGCAATTTTCTTCTGATATGGGAAATGGGAGGAAAAAAGATTTTAAAGTGATTAAGTTTACCACCATGACTAAAGTTTCCATCGACATCATATGGCAGCATTAATTCTATGAGATTAGGTCATCCTACGATAATTCCTCTCATAATCGTTCAGTTTAGAAACCAGGGATATTCTTGCACTCAGTTTGCACAGTAGTTATAAATGAAATGTGTTGCATTTCGAACACCAACAAATGAGCAACTAGGTAAGGTCTAACCTAGCAGAAAACTTCACATATGTATTACCTCTTCAAAAATTTAAACAGAAAATGAGTCACACAACCAGAGAAGTTTGAGAATCAAGTCCTAAACGAGATATTAACAAGTATCTTTAACACAGATCAAATGATCGTTAGATCCTACAAATAACGTCACATGCGTTTTTGCCATAAAACCAATGTTAATTGTAAACACCTGTATCTTATGTAGAAGTTGATTTTCTGACTCCTCGTAGTGTGATTAGTATTACTTATGAAGTTTTGAAGACGTAATATGTTACGTAACGCTTTAACTCACACCTTGTCTAATGGCTCATTCTCCACTGAAAATTGCAGAATAAACCATTAATTTTCTAAACTGAATCTGAAGCTGAATGTAAAACTTCATAACATGTTTCTATCAGGTCCACACAACTTCAGTAGCTTCCAATGTCCAAACATTCGGCTCAAACCATGAGAGTTAGATCCTTTCGGTATTGAGGAAACCATGAAAAAAGTAGGAGAAATAATTTTAACTTTCAAAACGTAAAAAAAATTGTTACCTTTTCTGTAGTAGTCAGTCTCGTATATTTCTCTTGTCATTCCAAAATCTCCTATTTTCACCGTCAAGTCTTCAGCTACCATACAGTTACGGGCTGCCAGATCACGGTGGACGAATCTTTTAGCTGCAAGAAAAGCCATTCCGTCTGCTATTTCGGCGGCCATACGTAGAGTTCGCTGTGAATCAAATAGAAGGTAAGTAAATCTTCAATGATACACAGCATTTGAATTTTTTCTTGGGGTGATAACATAGACTAAACAGTTATAAACTGATGCGAAATGAACTAAATTCTCAGACACTGATCAAATAGGGGACTTACGATTGCAGTCTTCCTTTCAGATAAAACTAATGTTAGTTGCTAACCCCGAATCTTTGCTAAGGGATCGAGAAAATGAATCCTATTGTTACATGTGTGCCACTCAATTTTTCCTTAAGCTTCTGCCTAGCACCATTGAAATATCTTTAAAATTCAATAAAACATGGTAAAATAAAAAATTAAATCTAGTTTCACATCCAAGTCTGACTTTGCCCTCACCTTTAGAGTAGGAGGATGTTTCCCGTGGTCAGGGCCAGGGACCGGCGTCATGAGGCTGTTCTGCGATAATAGAGTTGAGCTGGCAGTGGATCTCAGGTCCTTTGAGTCGGCCGGACGGTGAGAGCGAAGGTATGTTTTCAGGTCTCCATTGCGCATTAGTTCCATGACTACAAGAGTCGGATGTCCAGAGGTGACAACTCCTAGCAATCTCACGACATGGTGGGTGTTGAAAGCTCTGAAATGACAGATGAGAGCCAATCAGACAAAAAGAAATTCTAATGCAGATGATATAATTTAATTTGGTAAAATCATAAAGAGGAGAGGTTAATATACAAAGATCAGGGGGTAAATGCATTCATGATGGGAAAGACTTTTTACGATTTAGTTTGATAATATCATATAGACAAAAGGTTAAAATACTAAAATTAGGGGGCAAATACAAATGGACCTATTTCTGCCAAATGGAACTGTGTGCATTAAGACATAGGCCCGAAGACTCATTAGAATATATGCATAACAGGACTCATGTCATATTGCAAACAGTTCTGTTTGACAGAAATACGTCCAGATAAGAATAAAAAACTTAAATTTAAAAGACTACCACAGCGATAGATAGAATTTTAGATTTATGAATACTTAGCGGCTTTACGTTGGAATTTTTACAGCTCCAATTTTTCTATTCATGCATGAGTTTGCTTTCAGTTTTAGTGGTGCTTTTTTCTGTGACTTAAGTAAACTGACAGAGAGATGAAACATGCTTATTAAATTCTGGACTCAGAGCACAAAGCACTTTAAATTCACAGTCATAAACTAACATGGGATAATTTTTCAGATAAGGAGATAATTTTCTTCTTTGAAGATAATAATGTTAGTGAACATTGCACTTACTTCATTACAGATGCTTCGTTCAAGAATTCGTGCCGATCTCTACCATTCGCAAATTCGTTGACAGTTTTCACAGCGCAGGGTTTCACAGGCTCATTGGGTACAATGTCTCTGGCAATACCCTCGTAGACCATACCAAAAGAACCTTGTCCCAGCTCACGGAGAATTTCGATGTTTTCACGAGGGACTTCCCACTCATCAGCAATGTAAACTACAACAAAGAGCACAAAGTCATGAACATATTGTATCAATTCCAGTCTTCCCATACAATAAGGGTGAATTGGAAGAATGATTGGAATTCTTTCAAAAAATAAAAGGTATTTTCTTTTAAACAAACCAGGCTAAATATTGAAATGATTGCACAAAAGTCGTTTTAAGTAAAGAAGTCAATCTAACCATATCATACGAATTAAACAGGAAATTGAGACATGGATCATCAGATTGAGACATCAGATATCATTGAGATAGGACATAGTCTTTGGGTCTGAAGATGGAAGGAAGACCCCGATAGTTGAGAAGTTCTGGCTTTATGGCCTTTGAGACATCTGAGTATGACACAATGTGTGGAGTGAGATTGTTGGTGGGCTTAGCTCGACTGTGATCGACTGATCATTGTAAAACTGATTCAAGGGGGCATAACATAGTTGAATTACCTATTTTGAACACAAAAGGACTTTCAAGACTGAAAAATGAGTTTAAAACTAAATGAACCAAAGCTTTCGAAATGAGAAATGAGAACTGGAGAATACTACAGGGAAGTATAGCAATCTGCTTTGTTTGTTCGATCAAATAAATGAATCGATAGAAGATTAAGTCTTCTTTGATTCAAAAATATTTTAATGAGTAATTTTAACGCAAAGAAATTGTTCCCTGGAGAGTTATCCCAGACAGTTCTCTCCTCAGATTTTTCATCACTTTGGAACTTTGAAAGCGATAGAATTTTCGTCAAGTGATAAGTAAATCAAGTCATAAATATATGTAAAAATTGAAGAGAAGGGTGATCTTCCCTTACCAGTGGGGACGTATTCTGGATTGACAGAGGCGATTAATTTACTGTTGGGGAAGTCATTGCCATACTTTCGTCGCAAACATAATCCGGTACCAATGACTATTACTAAAACGCACAGTAAGCTGATTATGATGTTCATGAAAACACTACCAGTCTCCTGCAAAAGTAAATAAAAAATTAAATTAAAATAAAATAAAAGTTATAAAACCAATATATTCTCTGAGTTCTGAAGTTTTCAGAGTGGAAGATTTTCAACTTTCTCCTCTTAATATAAATCTCTTGTGTTTCTCATGTATTGGAAAAATTAACACAATATTGTACAGTGGTATGAAATCTTTGAACCTTTCATGGAAAATTGTTTGTGATAATGCAAGTGACCATACATTCTATAACAATACCTATGAACCTCATATCCATGACCAAAGTACAAAACCACGTACCTCCATTGCAATGTTTCAAAATTTCTGCTCCTTATTTACTTTTTTGAGGAGAAACAAACCAAATTTACACCTTGAAATTTGTATAGAACCTTTTGCTAACGAAAGTGAAAAATCAAGGAAGTTTTCAAGAAATTATGTTGACTAGTTTTCTAAAGAAAAAATAAGGACAGGAAGTCTGCAACATCCTCCAACCATATGTGGTTTTCGCTTTGGCCATCGATATAGCTTCATATAAAACAATGAAAATTTACATACTAAAACATGAGCTTATGCATTTATAAGCAAACCTTGATGTAATTATTACAATTCAAATTTTGCGTCTCTGTCAGCTCAAAATTGTTAGCCCATTGCTCTTAAAGAAGGAGAAGAAAGGAGATTTGAAGATGGATACCTTTATGTTAATATTGATTTCCTCAGAGTATTTGCCAGGACCAAACAATGAATCCGCCCTTATACGCATGCTGTAATTACCAGGATACAACACGATCCTAACAGGTGAGGTTGAGTTTTGAAAATCTTTCCTTGGTATACACTGTGTAATTTTTAGCTGTAAAAAAATAAAATTAAAAGATCAATTTGCATTAAATTTACGTATGAAAAAGAATCAGATATTTTTTCTCCACGGAGAGGGGGTGGGGGAAATACTGGATAGAAATTCTGGAGTTTTTATTTCTCTTTCTTGAAATTTCATTTCTTAAGGCAGCTGACATTCATGCGGTAACTTTATCTTTTCTTAGACTCTCTCTGAAATAGGGTGCTGCTGGCTTCCACAAGATTACGTTCAATAAACTGTACAGAAAACAAAGGAAAATAAGACTATTTTAGCGACAAAATATTTAAGGATCTACGATGGAGAGGATGCAAATATTTTGTGATGCATGGTTATGAACTTGGTAAAACTTACAGCCTCAACATCAGTTCTTCGGTATTCGACATGGTAGGACACAATAGCACCATTTGGCTCTGGAGGATCAGTCCAGTGCAGAAAGACAAATGTTTGACTTTTATTGGCTGGTTTAACTTCATACACAGGATTCCGCAGATCATCAGCAGAGGCTGAAATACAAAAACAACCTTGAATTAGCAACAGCAATTGAATTAAGTGGTGTAATTAATATTTGTGAGAGAGACAGAAATAAATCAAGGGGACATGTCTTGCAGGGGTGCTATTCCTTTAGGGTTAACATCTGTTGTGACAAATACCATCTTGCCCTTTTCAGGAATGGTTCTGGCCCTACAATCATCTTCACTGAGATGTTCTTGCTTTCTCACAAGAGATCTTCATGCTTGATCTCATAATGAACTTGTTCAGTGATGGTCAACGATTACAATTTTCAAAAATTGAGAGTGCACTTATTTTGTGGAAAATTTTGTCGATTTTTTTGTATAATTTTAACCCATGAACGAGTCCAAACTCCCATTCAAACGCACATCATCAAGAAAACTAAGATAGCGTCTGGAAATATCCTTTTCACCATGGGTATTTATTTGACTGTGCAATAAATTGTCTATTATGGATTGCAGCAGAGGTCCTGCGAATGAGTCTAATTGAGTCTAGTCTACTGAGTAAAGACGGAGTAGTAATCTTCGATTGTAAACATAGCAATATAGAAAGAGCTTAGAATAGGGGTTGATCTTCTCCAGGGTCATTGTTGGGATTCAACCTGTACCTTGTGAAATAAAAGGGACACAATGAATCTGGAGGGAAACTCTGTGATTGGTCCATTCTGATGGATGGGTCCGTCTCCCCACTAATGACACCAATGATGTCGGTAATTTCATCAAATTCAAAATAACCCATTCGATTTGACAGGAGACTTCCCTTGAAAAGTAAGATGGGAGCAAAAATTTCAACTTACGCAGTCCAGCTGTTTTGACAGAAATCACAGCATCCATGCTGCAAAGAGAGCTGTTCAACTGATCATTTTCGTCTTTTTCTCTGCAAGCTCTGATGTGAACATTATAATCAGTGTAGTGCTTCAGATTTCCAATCGTTAAAGATGTAGATTTGCCGGTTGAGTTGACCTTTTGGTGATACACTGAAAATAAAATAATATGGGTTGAGATTAGGGGACCGCAAAAATTGACTCTCAAAAATAAGAATAGAAAAATGTAGAGTGAATTGAGCAGGCTGCATTACAATGCAGCCTGCCTGTAAAAATCTACAGATTTTTACATCAATGGCAAAAAAATTAGAGCTAAGAGCTTGTTTATGCTTCTTTGGGCTGGCTGTAAGTTCCCTCTTGAATTCTTACATCATCGTTTCAAATGATGCTCCACTCTAAGATCACAAATTTAGAAGCAGGATTTGACTGACGGAAATCGTTCTCTTTCAGAAAAGAGCACAAGTTTTGAGACAAAAGACAGTTTCACTGAAATTGAGATAAAGTGATTTTGCGACTATCTAAGCTAAATACTTGGCAAAAAAGAAAGACAGTGAAACAGAGACAGACATACAACTTATCATTATCCTGGTCTCACGTGATGAAGAATAAACTCTATCATGACAACCTTGGAAGGATCGATGCAACTTAAAACCGATGAGAACCACTGGGAAGTGGAAATAGTGATTAGGTTTGTTATTTGAATTTTTTGTTATTCAGAACTAAACAAGGTTGTATAATCCAGCTTATTGTGTAGGACAAAGGAAATTTTAGAAGGTGATAGAAATTAGAAATACTTTTAATATACCTAGATCATTTTTGTCTGGCAGTGTTCCTCCATCACTATCTTTAAAATCGAATTTGCTCATGAGGACAGATTTTGCTGGTCCTGATTCCAAGTGGTTTCCCTTGTCTTCTGAATTTACTTCACGTTTGTCTCGCGACGGTCTGTAAAATGACAAAAAAAAAAGATTGTAGAGGATATTATGCAAATGATCTTGTACAAAAATGCTCCTGAAAAAGTAACAAAAAAATATGCAGCAAGAGTAGGTAGCAATACTGACATCAACTGAAAAAAGTGCCAAAATTTGTCTTTTTTTCCCCCTAGAAACATGTCGTTCAGAGGGATTTTTTAGAAGAGGGTAAAAATTATCTTGATTTATGACATCATTTGAAAAATTTAAAACACTCAGATCCAAAAAAATTCTCCAATTGTTATTGACGAGGACTTTCAAGTGAGATGATACATTAATGCTGGGTCCGCACTTGTCTCAAAAAAATTGAAGCCAGAAGTACCAAATACTAAATTAAAGTTAAAGAAATATGAACTTGAATCAGTTTCAAGGCGGTTTCAACTGAGGGAGGTTCGCGTTCAATTCAAGTGTCTTGGAAATGCTTCGCTATTGATATACTGGCCCCTGTTTTTCTTTCATTAGGGCAAATTGACCGGCTGCCTGACTGTTGAAACTATACCACTCTGACAATACAAGACATTGCCTTATCTTAATCATGAAATATATCGCATTCTGATGTCTTATCCGGCTGCTTTAAACTTTTGATGATCAGCCCACAGTTCTGCCGTGATAAAGAAGAGAGCAGTGAGTGCCTTTCTGTATGAGCTATGATAAGCACATGCTCTTATGTGCCTTGAGGTTCATCCTAGCATGCACTTACTGCTGTCTTTGCTATCACGGCAGAGTTATAGCCAGCCAGCAGTAGCACAGTCGGGCTCTGTACTCAGCCGAAGGCCAGCTTAGCACCATAGAACACCCCAGGCAGTATTAAAATGCAATCATTGATACAACTTGGGACCAAAAAAAACCATTTTTGCACCCTTTTTCCCCATTGCAGAACACATTGCCTAGGATCGCAAAATGAAAACCATATATAACATTACAAGAGAACTTCAAGTCGATGAGGAATTAAATTACCTTCTAACGTAGATCGTATTTTGCAAATAATTCTCCAGTTCTATTTCCATCAGTGCTCTGTTCTGATCGACCTGTGTCCCTTTCTTTTCTTCTTTTACTCCACACATGTTCTTTTCGTTCGTTGCCTTGGGGGCAGCAACATCGATGTCAGGTTGTGGGGTCCTCTTGGAATCGGTGCTTATTGCTGTGGAAGAGAAAAAGAAAATTGAAAACTTGGTACTCGGCACACCCTGGCAAGCATTCTTGATTCTAACTGCACTTTAGTGGTAAAATTAGACCAATGAAAGTTAGCTTTTGGCTGTTTACGAAACATAGCAGTGAGATTGAAATGGCGGATTTCAAAGACCAGCAGGGCTGCCTTAGTTGTGGATGTACGCGCTCTTTCACTTATAATTGATTATTCATGCATCAATTTATTAAAAATAAGAGAAATATAAAAATAATAAGAATTTAGAACTGAAAATCAAATTTCATGATGGTTGGGTAAAAATATAACAGCAGTCATGAGAAATCATAATTTTTCCTGCTTGTTTCAGTCGACTGACGATTCCATGAATTATCCTCAGAAAGGTTTTGGATATTGTTTCAGCCTTTTTTTCGTTATTAATCTTTTTTCCACTTGTAATGCTACTGGCTGTAGGAGTTATACTATCATGGTTGATTTGGAATGAATGTTATACTTACGTTTTTCACAATAATCTCTCTGTTCTAATGCAAACAATGCTTTGTTCACTATGACTTCGTAACTGGTGACGTTTCCATTTGGATGAGGAGGTGCTTCCCATTCTAAGCTGATCGAGTTTGAATCCACATATTTTAATTTTATGTTCACTGGACTTGATGGTTCTGAAAATAAGAGAACATTATTCAGTCATCTTTCCACAATCTAGATAACACGTAAATGATACAACATTACAGGTTATTTTTTTAGCGTCCAGGAAGCCATTGAAATATGGGCCATAAGAGGGAATTTTATAACGTTGAACATTTTTAGTGAGGAGGATATCTCAATGATGCTATCCATGGGCTCAGGTGATAGTACTTAGAAGGAAACATCTAGTAGTAAGTGGTCCAAATAATTTTCTTCATAAAAACAGAAAAATGTCTACATCTCAGTAAAGAGTGATTTCAGCAACAGCAAGATTCTGCATATTCTTGAAACTTTTCATGTCGAACAGCAGAGACACATCATATTATCAACCTCACTTCATGGACGACCTGTTTACGATTGAAAGTTAGATCAATGGTAAACTTACGAGCAGCAGCTGTGCGAAAATACGTGATGTCACTTCTAGCACCATTGGTCTCCGATGCAATGGTGTAAGTCTTCACAAAGTATGCGTATCGTGTGAATGGTTTCAATCCCGTCAAGAGTAACAGATAATCGTCAGTTGTATCATCCATCATCCAGCTGAAACAGAGGATATTATTAATAAAAATTCAACATTGAATATGAGCAAGTATAGTTTGCTGAATGGGACAGAGGTGAGAGGAAGATTCTGGTATGAAATTCACAGTTGCAAGGAGTCATAAAACCTTGATCTTTACCGATCTTGAACTTTAGTTAATGTAAGTGTCCTATTTGATGGGACACTGAGGCTGTGACCAAAGAAAAATTATTAGTGAATGTCTCTAACACCCTTATCTAAGGGTTGACTAATGCCAGTGAAATATTACGTTTATCCACAGGTGTTTTTGCAATTATGCATTTTTCTGTCCTGAATTCTGAGCTGGATTTTGTGTGCTGGAACCAGGTTCATTCCCGAAAAGGCAGTAAAGATCACACCACCATGACTCAATAAGATCGCATCCTGTCACTTCAAGGACGCATTTTCATCAGTACACTCTGTTTGTTAACTACCAAGCTGTCTACTCTAATGCAAGAAAAGGCAACCATACTGCCTACGTTCCTTTCATGCTGCTCAAAAAAGACGACAACCAGCAGCAGCAAGCTGGACTGCTCTACACATGCTCTACAGATTGGACATCCATTCAATTTGCACATTTTTATTTCATAAATTGTGCAGCAGAATGCACTTAAATGAACGTAGGTAAAGACAAAGGATCAAAATTGGCCAATTTTGGGGGTTGCTTCATCTATTTTCTACCTTCGTGTTAATCAAAATTTTGATGAGCACTAGATGCGAAGCAGCGTTGTACGCAGAAAATGTAATGAGCTGTTCATTTCCTTACCCATCATTTCCACACGCGTCTCTGCCATCATACAAGCTGACATTCCCTTCACGTGCTTCAGTGTAATAAACAACGTAGCTCAAAATCGTGCGTGGGTCGTGATGCTGGCGATGAAACTCTGGTCCCCATTCAACTACGACAGCTTCAGGATAGATTAGTTTCACCCAGGTGTTCAGCGTGCTCATATTGCCTGTTCAAAAATAAAGACAGTTACAGTTTAAATTTCTCTTATATTGATTGACATTAGTTTAAAAAAGGATAACATTACAAACTATGAAGGTTATCTCTCGATGAAAGGGAACGGCTGGGACTAGAATGAATCAAAGTGGAGATGATTGGATTGGCAGCTCCCAAAAAGCTGATGTTACCTGTAATTTTCAGGAACAAAATTACGTGGCAGAGGCTCTATAGGCCTTGCTACGCAGCCTATGTTGAGCTCTGTAAGTTGCAGATAAAACCATACCTTAAGTTGAGTTTTCTTAGTGCTTACGCCTGACTAGAAATACTGAGAGATACTACTCGAGAGATATTTATCTATGGTTAATCCTAACAATTGCTCTTCATTTGAAGATGTAAAGGTTATTCCGCCTGTTATGTAGTGAAAAAACAGGCAGCCTAGAATTCCTTTTAAAAAATAAAAATTCCAGTGGAGAATGGTGGTCCTCTTTTACGTGATTTTTATTTTATTCTGTAACCCAAATAAACTCAATTGATCCTCAAATTTGTATCAAAATGAGTTAGTGGCTCTTTCTACACTGTACTAACTGTGAGGTTGAAAGCGCTATTTTACAGATACGATAAATTGTTGTCTCGCTGCTAAGAGATACTCACAAGCCACTTTGTCGCCGTTGGAGGCTTTTGCAACATCCAACTCATCCAAGGTGTCGATTCCCACTTTCTTGGCCAAAGTTTCAATTCTGTCGATACACAGTTTCGGGTTGAAATGAAAAAACAATCTGCCTTTGAGGATGGTAAGGCCAGTTCCATTTCGGCCAGCTTCTTTTGTAGACCAATCCCACAGCTCGGCCAGGTTTTGATTATCTAATAATACTAGGGCATACCTACAAAAATTTAAAAAGAAAGAAAGAAATTAGTAAAAATATTAGTCACAAACAATTTTTGGTCGAAACTTGACAGCAGGGGTGTTCCAACGAATTATTGTTGGTAAGCTATTGGTACTCCACTTTCTGATACTGATAAACTCTGATAAGAACACTGTTGTTGGAAACAACCAGCTCTATCGAAACTTTGTGAGCCTCGAGTCAAAGTATGGTATCCTGGTTCATCTGTATGTTGGGTTTCTTAGCCAAGAAAACTGATAAACGAGGCAATAATTTATTTTCGTCAGCTCCAGGAATTCTAATGGCCATCGGTTGGGGGCTCTTTATCGTTAATAATTCTTAATGAAACTGTTTTGATAGCTTACCAAATGCCAACAGAACACCCCTACTTGAAAGGATCATTGAAAACAAATGGCGCAAAAACTGCTTTTGACTAGTTGAATTATGCCCTGCACTAGAGAGAGAATAGGGGCTCTAATTTTGACATGAAGAAAATATTATTTCGAGAAACGTTAAAACGAGATGCAACTGTATTTGCATGATCTAAAACACAATGTCCATTAGTGATATGAGCAATCTTTCAAAAACAAACGGAGGCCAAATATAACAAAAGCAACAAATAGTAACTACTATAAAATTATAATACATAAAAAATAGAAAAATTTGATTCGCCCAAATATGCTTAAATGGAATCTTTTACATTTTTTGGCTTTTTAACAATTAATTCGGAACAAAAAAGGCTTTTTATCAGCAAGAGCATACATACACAAAAAAATAACGGATAAAAAGGAACATAATCAGCATTTTACTTACTTTCCACTCTCTAGCCGATCTCCTCGGATAATCCTCAATTTCTTCAAAAAATTCAGGGAAACTAGGGGAAATGACCGCACTATCTTCAGATATTCATCAATTTCTTCTATTGAACTTAAACTAATTTCCAGTTCTTTGACGACATTCACTGGAAAAAAGAATTAGAGGAGATGAGTGATTTCACATGCACCATGTCTTACCTCGTAAATATACCTGACATCTACGGTAAAAAGACAAAAATTCTTACATTTTTCATAAGGAATTTAACTGCTTGGAGCTGCTGGATGATGCAAACAAAAAAGGGAAAAAACCAGGAGCCTGGTTAACATATTGCATTTTCTTTCTAACAGAATTTTTTTTAAGCAAAATCAAATTAATGTCGATTCACAAGGGCCTAAGTAAAACCAATTTCTTTTTTCTCGAGGGCTAAAGCCCCAAAATTTCGGATTTCAACTTTTTGGTGGATTATGGTTGCACTGTAGTCATGTGTCATATGCTGCAGCGCTAGGATTAAAATCCGTAGTTAAAAGTTCAAAATAAGCATTATAAATATCAGTTTTTGGCTCAAAAGCTTGAAAGCAGTTTTTTTTTTTTTTTTTTTTTTTTTTTTTTTTTTTTTTGGGGGGGGGATGGCTGACAAGCAACAGAATTACAATGATTTTGTCTGCTACCAAAAATAAGTTTTACTATACTTGTGAACAATCATTTTATTGAGTTCCCTTCTATCAAGAGGATGCATTGGATAATTTAATAAAGTTGGCTGAAGACAGCAAAAATAAAACTTTTACTTACTCCCTCCTCTGATTTGAATTTCAAGCGGGCCATTAATCCTGGTGCAACCTCGCAACTTCTGAGCCGAGGCGACACTATCGACAATGGCACCAGGGCAGTTTTTCGTACAGATACCTGCAAATAAGCAATAACATGAAAATCTTACAAAAAAAAACAAAAAAAAAATTTTATCCATTAAAACGAAACAAAATTCTGGATCAGATGGTTCAAAATAGACGGATTTTACTCAAACTGAAATGCTGCTCTGAAAGCCAACTCCAGAAAATAATTCCTCAGCTAAATCGGACAAAAGTTCCACCAAACTGGGCATTTGATTGACCAAAAACAGCCCCTTGCTATTTTTTAATGCCACAATCTTCCCCAAACAAACATACTTGTCACTGCCTCAGACAGGGGTAACAGCACATCACTGAAGAGCGACAATAAACTCCATGATTTTATCAAACCATTTGGTCACCGGACAGAGTCGTTCTGTTCTCATTCTCTCAATTTGTTGATACTGACTGCATAAAAAAACTATGCAACAAAGAGGAACGAATTCGCACATTAATGGGAAAATGAAAGTCTCATTTTGGTCAGAAAATACTAATTTCGCACCTCAACTGATCTTGGCACATACCTCCTAATATAAAATTGCTGGTGGGTTGACCCGAGTTCCTAATTTTAATGCAGACTAAAAGTACCTTTAATAAATGACATCTGAAGTCATGCTTCCTTCAAAAATGATTGCTTATGAAAATGATGTCAGAACTGCTCTGTCCATTTTGTAAGTATACACACCTTTGACACGTTTTAACAGCTCTGATACGTACAACCAGCAAAGAAAACGGCAAGATCTTTTAATTAGTGTTGCATTTATTCAAACATAAGCTATTCCCTGAACTTGTTGAAGAAATCAGTTTTTATTCTCATTTTTTCAGGAAAATTGTGTATTAACAGTACAGGCTTATCGGGCTCATTTTGATGGAGGATGTAAATTTGAAACTTACCTTTACACTCAACGCATTTATACCTCTCGGGTCTATCAGGATCTTTCACTTCCATATAATTAATCGGACACTCTAGAGTGCATTCATTTTGATGTGGTTTCCATGGATGGTTTCTCTTTTCAGCAGATTCTCGAGGCCTTGGCATATTGTAACATTCACTTTCGGAAATGCATCTTCTATTCATGAACTGATAAAAGAGAGCAATAGTTATTTCGAAATTCAATCAAGAAGAAAATATACATGCAAGAGGAGAGGGGAAAGATGAGAATGAGGCAGGAATAAATTTTTCATTTTTATTGTGAACTTTTATTGATCAGGCATCATAAATATCCATGACCAAAGTGCGAAATCACCTATCTCATGGCAGTGTTTCAAACTTTCCAGTCCTGTTCTATTTTCTCAAAGAGAAACAAGCTAACTTTACAGCTTAAAATTACTGAATAATTATGCTGATAGAGAAGAAAAATCAAGGAAGTGAATTACTTTGACTAGTTTTCCAAAGAAAATATAAAATATGACAGAAAGTCTGCAATGTCACAAACGGAGCTCCGTGGTTTTGCACTTTGATCATCGATATCTAACATGAAAATCAGATTATCTAATGAGATAATTGATGGCTTGTATTCTGCCAACCATATGAGTATGATTATCATTTAGTTGTGGATGAAATTTTCCTTCATTAGTTGAAACTGATGTTTGAAGGGCTAATTTCATTTTTGGAGACAGCTTATGGAGCGCCTCTTTTTTTATTGCAAAGCAATGTAACAGCCTTATTTTATTCTATCTAATGCATCAATTGGGGATTTAAATACACCATAAAAATCGGAAAGCACTCACTAAAATGTGAATAAATTTGTGTGAGAAGACCTTGTCCCCGTGAAGGAAATTTTCTTATAACGTTTTGCAAACGCAGGAGGGACAAAAATATAAAAATTTAGGCCGAAGTTTGACCCTACAATCTCAAAAATTGATACAGATATTAGCTCTGAGATTCCAAGACAAAAACTCTTAGATTGTACAAAAACATGGTTCAAGCGTTGGCAAAAAGTTAGGAGCAAAATGTTCTCCCGAAAGAGAACATCCCTTCTCACAGATTGTGCCTAATATATTCTTTGCAAGACAAGACAGTCCCTTTCAATGGTGACTTACTCTATATGTATAGGGAGGACAAGTTTCTAAACACGTTCCTTCATAAAGCACATCTCGACAGGCAAAACAACGGTTCATATCATTTTCTACTTCACATCCTCCGAGACAGCGTTCATGACAGCAAGAACCATTAGGTAGACAACTCCCTCCGTTGCATTTAGGGCAGACTGAAAACAAATGCACAAACAAGCATTAGTGATAATTAAAAAGTAATTATCAGAGTTTTTACTGCTTCCCTCCCATTTTGCACACACTGATCCAAATTTATTTCCTCTCTATATAAAGTTAATTGTTGATTAATTTAGCGAAGAGCATTTCAATATCTTTGATTAAAACGGATGGAATTGAAATATTACTAATATACTAATTTCTTCACTATTTTTAATAGAACTAATTTTTAAGTATGCTTGGTGTAGCTCTGCACCTATTAAAATGAAGGGAACATCAAGAACTGAAAAAAGTACCCACATGAAAAAATTAAAAATTGAATATTCATCTTGGTAATTAATTTCATTTTGTATACCATAAGTAAAAAATACAAGATTTGCACAAAATGTCTCAAAAATTTAATTAAACGATTGCTGACAATGTTAAGACTTACTCTTTTGGCAGTGGTCACTGTCCCAACAAAGTGGTTCTTTGGTATTTGTCCTATTAGGGCAGGTTAGGGACGCTGAACATCCAGGACATTCATTCATAATTCTATTATTCTGTAACAAAGAAAATAAAGTATTGTTACCGAAACAAGGGCAGAAAAACAGTCAGGCCAACTTTACAGAGGAAAATTACAGAAAATTCTTAACAAATACAACAGATGAATGTATTATCAGTTTCCAAAAATGATAAGAATGATTCTTCAGAAAAAAAGTAAAAAGCGCATAATAGAGCTTTCAAATCTCAGAACATCTGTCAGCTCAAAAACCACTCATTCAGAGGAAAATATATCTCAAAAGATGGAGACTAAAACCAGAGCTTCTTCAGTTTTTTCATTTCCCAATTCCCTGACTTATTTTGCTTTTTCCTCCTGTCTTCAAAGATTCCGAACTAAATTTCCACATAGATTTTTATTCTTTCATTCTGATGTATTCTGCTATTGGAAGAGGCACTTGAAATATATTTACGCTCTTTAAAATAGTACCAGCTGGCGTTGCCAAACTGACGAGCTACTCGCCAAATTCCCTGACTTTCCCAGGTCATCGTAGAATCCCTGAATTCCCATAACTTCTCAAGCATTCCTAAACACCGGAACCTTGCTAAAACTGATCAGACCCAGGTGATTTTGAAAATTTTGATTTGTTTCTTTGTTTTTTGAGACATTCTATCCTCTACTCTGGGTAGGAAGACTTTACAGCATTGGGAAAAAATTGTTGCAATTAATTTGCCCCAGCAATTAAGTCAATATGAAACGCTAGAAGATAGGTTTTTGAAAAAGTAATTAAAATTCGCCGACGTTTACCTCAACAGTGAGTGAAAAAAAAAAAACTTGTTTTGAAACGAAAAAAAGATGCAGCTAAATCTGAAGTAATTTTTCCATGGTAGAACACATTTTTTAAAGCTCTTTGGAGTCAAGTTGTTTTCAAACTAATTAATTTAGCGACTTAGGTAAATCATGCCATCCATTTGGTCATCAAGCAGCACTTCTTTATCTAAAGGACCGCCTGCTGTTGTTATGAGTTTCAAAAATTGCGAAATCAAGAAAAATCTGTAGATGGTGTTTTCCTTTTCTTCCATATATTTGAATCAGAACAGTAAACCTCACACGGAGCAAACTGTGCTCGAATAAGCTTCTCCTTCTATCATGAGATGTTCAATTTTACGATTAATTTAAATCATTTTCCTATCTGGAAGAGAATGAAAGATATTACTTGTGATAGTTTTACTTACAGCTATGTAATGCGACCCCTCAGAAGAATTGCGACTAAGAACATTCCAATCAATGTTATCGTGATAACAAAGCATTGGATTCTTGACAATGTAAACAGCACCCCGCAGAATGTCTGTTAGTGAATGCAATCCAACCTCCTAAGACAAAAAATGATACGGTAAAATGAATGATGAAAAAATGATTTAGTGACAATATTGCAACTTCAGTGATTTAGGCTAGAAAATTATCACAAAAAACCTGCATGAGAGGTTGAAAAAATTTACAAATTGTGATTATAGTGATTGCTAAGTACGTAAATAAAGTACATGTTATGTTAGGTTCTTAACAGAACAGTAAGTTTCGTAATTCATTTTTCTGTGTGAATTGACGGATTCTATTTTTCTAATTTGAGCTACGAACACAAATCTAATACTGTTGAGTTGATATTTGAGTTGTCTCAAAATGTTCAGTATTTTTTCGTGAAAATTGGATAAGGAAATATTACTTGTGTGCATTCATTTTCACGCTATCTTGTGATCCATCCATGAGCTTACAAATAGACTCCTTTTGAAAATCGCATTGTCTCTCAGGCAATTAGGTTTGTAGATAACTACCACTTGAAACTCGTTAAAAACGTCCTGAATAATAACAGCCCGATGGTACTTAAAGATTTAAAGTACAAGTGTTTAGAGAAAATTGCCCTAGCCCTGTCAATTCAACATTGCAAATTTATTTAGTGATTTGTAAAAAAAAAATGTTGCTTTTCAGAATTCTTCTTCGTTGCGTAAAATTATCAAGTCAAGGTTGCCACAGCATTGAAAAAACGAATTTCCCAGACATCTGCTTGATTTCCCTGACACATTTCGGTAAAATTCCCTGACAATTGAAGTAATGCCAGATGGTTAGAAAGACATAATTTGAAATAGTTACAAGGCAAACTGATTTTTCGAAACACCAAACTCATGTCAGAAAGCGATTAAAGGTGACTTAAAATATTTTTTTTGACACTTTCGTCATTTTCCCGGACATTTCCCGGTTCTCCCGGTATTTCCTGACTATGACAACCCTGTCAAGTAGACGAGGGACAAAGTTGAAAAAAGGAAGGGAACATACCTGGAGATCAAGCATTTCAAATATGACTAGAGCGTAATTGAAGAAGAGTTGCTGGCCCCTGATGACGGCCAGATTAGGGAACATTTTCGAGAGGGTTTTGAGCCCTTTGACTCGGTAGAGAAGGAGGTAGCCTGTGATTTCCCTCAGCTCTGGGAAGCTGATATTGTCGTACTGGGATGAGTCGGCTTCGTCGATCAGCACGATCTGCACGAAGCCTTCCACTACTTTGCATCCTTTCAGTTCGTCAAAATGTTTGATTTTATTTCGGATGTCTATACTCTGACACACTGCAACAAAACCGCAAAATACACAACCATTAGTATAATTATTTCATTAGCATAAGCCATAAGTATATCGACGGTGAAACTACCAAACCACGTATCTCGTTTGCGGTGTTTAAAAATCTACGCTCGCATTTTATTTTTTTGAAGTAGACCAAATCAATATCATTCCTTGAAATTTTCACAGAATTTTCTTCGCACGAAGAGGAAAAATCACAGAAATTTTCAAGACTGGACGTTAAGTAGTTTTCCATTTAAAAAACAAATAAAGTATGACAGGAAGTCTGCGACGTCGCAAACCGAGATACGTGGTTTGGTAGTTTCACCGTCGATATTCAGTGGTATCTAGAATCAAAACTTCAAGATCCAGTTATTGGCACCAGATTGGACTACATTTTGCGATTTGGAACTGTAAATTCTAGCCCGGTTTAAAAACAACGTATGTGCCATTAGTTTTCCTATGCACGTAAGTGTTTTTCCGGAACAGCCAAAATTTATAGTTCCAAATTGCGAAATGCGGTCCAATTTTGAACTGCAATCAGCACTCCGTAGACACCTGAAGCAAACTACTCTTCCGAGTTTCGTCTAAAAAAGACAAGGTACGTGAAAAAAATCAGTGAAAATCGGCGTTTTTCCCCACTACCGGCACCAAATCCCCATTTTCCCATAAGAGTACGGTCTCAATAATCGCGGCTTCGTTATCCGCGGGACGGAAGACGGAACCCTCACGAATAACGAGGGACTACAGTACTACGCCCCTTGGGATTCTTTCTAAACAGTAAAATACATGGGTACCAAAGTAGATTTGGGAATGTTGCATTCAAAATACGCGAATTGAAGGCATAGTGTCAATAATTCTTCATAATCTTCTTCACCTTGATTTTCCTTGAATTCCTGGTAAAATTCGTCGTTTTACCGTACGAAAGAACGTAAGCGCATTTCAATGTTGCAGAATCTCACCTCACAAATTGCATTTTTATTAGGAGCATCTTTGGCGTCGCTGACTGAAAATAACACTAATTATTCCTCTGATCTCTTGCAAAAATCAGGAAACATTTTAAAAAAAATTGCATAGGTACATTCTTGTAAAATATTGTATATTTTTCTGTACTTCAGTGCAGACCTTCCGAAATCGTTTTCTTTTCTTTTTTTGCTTTTTCCGTACTTTTTCCATATAGTAGACACCCGTTGCAGAATCTCACCTCACAAATTGCATTTTTAATAGGAGAATTTTTGGCGTCTCTGACTGAAAATAACGCTAATTTTTCCTCTGATCTCTTGCAAAAATCAGGAAAAATTTAGAAAACAATTCCAAGGGTACATTCTCGTAAAAAATTGTATAGAACTTTCTGTACTTCAGTACAGACCTTCCGAAATCCGTTTTTGTTTTTGTTTTTCCGTACTTTTTCCGTATAGTAGACACCCTGTTCCTTCCCTCTGATAATCCCAGCCAGGCTTCCCGGACAGCTACTCTGCCGTGCTACGGAAGAACGCCGTATGAACCTCCAGGCGTTGCCAAATTTCCTTGGATGAAACACGACTTTTCCGGTAAACTCATGAAGATTTTTCTTCCAATTTTACAGATAATTTTGTTCGCAGTTTCACCCGAAGCTCCTGAAAATTTCGGAGGAAAATATTCATAAATTTCCTCAAAGATGGTGATTTAGTGAAGGAAATTTGGCAACTCTCGAATGTTCATGAGCGTTTCTCCTTAGCACGGCAGTAGAGTACCTATATTGAGAGAGTATGGCCACTGGGCCCCATGGAGAGACTTAGGACCCAAAAATGGCGGTGCTTTGTTTTGGTTTTTGTGGATGGGAGGGGGGTCATTGCCAACTTTTGGCGGTTTTCACCAACCGCACTTGCTGCCAACCTTACTACATCTAAGATAATTTTTCTCAAAAATTGCACACGATTAGCCTTAAAAATATGTAAAGAATCGCAATAGTGCATTTGGGTTAATTTCTCGTCACGATAAGCAAAGAAAACTACATTTTGAGTCATTTTGTATCACATTAATTTATGGCGTCCGCCATTTTTGGGTCCTAAGGGCTCCATTCAGCCTAAGATGGCTGAGCTAATCAGAGGTGGTAACACCAGTGGCCATACTCTCTCAATATAGGTACTCTACACGGCAGTGCTGTTTTCAACCAATTCCCCGACAAATTCCTGATTTTGTTCCTTCGTTCCCTGATATATCCCGATAACTCCGTGCCAATCCAGGTCCCAGACGGACACGACGATCCGAGGGGTAGGTAGCCATCGATATGCTAATGAATAGTAATGATGCAGCGCTTCCGAGACGTCAGGTAAACTCTTGAGCGTAATTGAACGCTCGCGTTGGGATCCCGTTTTCTATTCATGAGAGTGGCAGATGCCATTCGGGCTCTTGAGCTTTCAACAATGAAGCTCTAAAAATGAATGAACCCGGCGGCGGCGGCGGCGGCGACGGCCCCCGAAGAAAGGGAGAAAAAACATGTTTGTGTTTTTCTCCGCCCGCGAAATAGCCGAGTTGCTCCGTCGCGAGCGGGCGGCGCGTTGAACAATGTTGTGATATCCCTCCCGACTCCCGCTACCGCAGTGCCCAGAGATGGAAAATTTCATGAAATTTATTCGAAAGAAATTTCACGCGTGAAATTTCATAAAATGTCATGAAATTTCACGAAATTTCATGAAATTTCATGAAATTTATTGGAACTTCAGGGGATACATTCAGGATGCTAAGAGACGCCTAGAAACAGTAATTCTAAATTTTGAAATTTTTCACCCCAAGCCTAAAACATTCGCCCGTTGCAAATGTATTTTCGTTTAGTTTAGAGGTTAGGATGGGGTTTTTCTCTCTAAACTCCCCTTTTTGCCCCCTCTGTGTGTCTGGCACCTTCAGTAGAGTAGCGTAATACCGCAGCATCAACAGAAAGACGATCTGCAACGCTTTCAGACCTCCAAAGGTTTAATCAATATTTCTTAAAAAAGTAATAAATTTCAACTTTTGTGAAATTTATTCGAGCCTTATGAAATTTCATGAAATTTCTGACCGTAGTGCCGCGCTGAAAGTAAAGATTGTATTCGATACATCGAACGGCTGAGATTGTATCGATATCGATTGGTTCAAAACATGAACATAGCCTCAAGAGTAAATTCAGAAATCAGAGAAAACGGTCTTTTGTGACAGATTTTTTATTCTTTTGAGTAACAAATACCAATTTAAAGTGAAACTGTCAGGAAATTTCTCATTTTCAGCTTTTCCAACTTGAATCCTTACAGTTTGGTTTGAGGTTATGTTCTACTGTTCTGAACCAAACGATACATCGAACCGTTATCGAATACGGTCTATTCGAAAGTGGTTCGATGTATCGTTTGGTTCAAAACAATAGAGCATAACCTCGAACGATTATTCAAGGCTCCCATTCCCCAAAACTTGTTGCGAAACTTTTAAGATTTTCCTGAGTTTTCCCCGGAACTTTTGAAATTCCCGAGGTGCTCCGGATCTTTTGGATTGTCCGGAACTTTCTTGGGATACATCTAAAAGGAATCCCGGAACTTATGACGATCATGAAGAGGGAGAAATTGGAACAAAAAAGTTCCGAATCCCGGAACTTTTGCCGGACATGGAATGGGCGCACTGCGAACATTTTAGGGTTTAAGTAGGAAAAGCTGAAAATGAAAACAATTCCTGACAGTTTCACTTTTCATTGCCATGGTATACTCATAAGAATAAAAAATCTACCACAAGAAACCCGTTTCCTCTAATTACTCAATTGACTTTAACGGCCATGTTATGTGAGGATTTCAAGATTTTACAAAATGCCAGAATTTTTCAGAAAATTCTCTGATTTCCCTGACATGATGGATGGAATTTCCTGACAATTCCCGGCTTTCCAGACTTGAAGGCACCCTGAAATTTTACGCGTCCAACGTGAAGTATCCGAGGATCTCAAGGATATATTTCCATAATTCAACTAAAAAGTAAAATCGAAAGTTAATTTCCAGTTAAAAAATAAACCTCACATTGGGAGCAGATTTGGCAACGTTCGAACGCGCCTCGTGAGCGTTGACCTGCGACTTCGCTCCGTCAAAAACAAAAGATTTTTCGATCTCCGACGCCATCGACGCGAGCCTCTCGCATTTTAATTTGAAAAATACAAAAATATCCTCTCTTTTTCCTCTCGATAACGAGTGGTGGGTTGGAAAGGGGCGAAGGACAATGGATGACGTCATCGTGGAGCTCGGGTGAGATTGAGATCGAAATTACCTGGATTTGGATACAGGGATTAAAATTACACTTTCTGAAGCGTCTCGGATGGAAACGAACCCAGTATGCTGCCGTGCTTGGGAAAACTGTCGTAGGAGCCTTCAGGCATTGCCAAATTTCCTTTACCAAACCACTAATTTTCAGGAAAATTTGTGGATATTTTTCTTCCAATTTCTCAGATAATTTGGTTTGTAATTCGACCTAAAGTGTCTGAAAATTTCAAGGAAAAATGTTCATCACTTTCCTCAAAAATAATAATTTTATCGGAGGAAATTTGGCAATTGTTGAATGCTCATACGGCGTTCTTCTTTAGTACGGCAGTATGGCCGGTGTTTCTCGAAAGGGCACCGAGTTAGTAACATCGGCTATTGGCAAATCTTATTGAACAATTTGTTATTTTTTTTTCAAGTGAACGGCTGCACCGATTCTCTTGAAAATATCGTAGGATATTGGGTCACGACATAACGTTTCCTTGTGGAAAAAAAAAAAAAAAAAAAAAAAAAAAAACAGTTGTACTATGAAATGCTACTTTGTTCACTTCCTCGAAATTGTGTTTCTACTCCTCTCTCTGACGTTTTACTCCGATATTAGGAAAACTCACATTTTAAAGCTCCTATCTTGAGTGTTGAATAATGAGTGGGGTGCGCAGAAGATGATGATTTCCTTGCATTCCTATTTTAAGAAATTTAACTTAATCTTATTACGGGAGCCACATTATAACATGTCATGCATGATATTGACACTCAAGATAGTG